AAGTTTCATCTTGTTTTCTTATCACATACCTTCAGATTTTTAAAAATTATAATATTTTTTTTTCTCTTTTACTATAATTTTCTAATCTTGTAGCCTTTCCTTATGATTTGTTTTTCATAACTACTGTCATCTTAACTGTTCTTTTATGGTCATGAGACTGTTTGTCATTATTCTTGAAATGTGGTGCCTATAACTGCACATAGGATTTTGTTTAAGAGGAATGACAATGGCAGGATTATTGCTTCTTTCTATCTAGGTACTGCTGCTGATGGAGACATAGACTACATCAACCCTTTTGGGAGCCATAGCAATGCTAATAATAGCCAAAATGTATTAACCGCTTACAATATTCTAGGTAGTGTGCTAAGCATTTTATATGCATTGTCTTCTTTTATCATTGTAACAATCTTATGAGGTATAAACTATGCACCCCATTTCAATGGGGAGGAGAATGGAGCTTAGAGAGATTTATATGCACAATACTACATAGTTAATAGGTATTGGAAGTAGAATTCTAACCCAGGTCTACATGACATTAAAAACTGGGCTTTTAACTGCTGTGCCACTATATTTATATACCATGGCATACTATCAAACTCTGTTGAGTTTGCTGTCAATGAAATGTCTGGAGTCTTTCACATCAATTGCTATTAATTCAATGCTTTCAGGTGTTTTTAGTAGGCCAGCACTTAATGTTTTTGTGTTCTATTTATAAGCCATCATTACAGGATTTTGATATATAAATTTTTTTCTCTTATTTATGTAACTTATTTTTTATAATATAACTTATATGTCATAGACTCTACACTGAACAAGATACCAGTAGTAGTCTGTTACAGAGGGTTTGTGCCCCAAATTGGTAATAATCTGTTAATCAGGAATCCTTAGTAATAGTTTTTCCACCATCTACAGATTCATCCCACAGCACTGTCAGTTAGCTTATGTTTCTTTATTTTATCCTTAAGAATTTTTATGGGAGGTAAGAAAAAAGTGTAGTTTCATTAATGACTTACTTTTGAATCAAGTATTGTTGATTTTGTTTTCTTGCTAGACAGACAGTAAAACAGTGCATCTCACATTAGTTTAGAAATTTAGAGAAGAGTTTTGGTGATAAGCCCCAAATATTAGTATCTTCTCCTTTTTGTTTTCTATTGACCTTTATGTAGATCATTGTAATTAGAAACTTTGGGTCCTACAGTTTAGACAGTGGTAATAAATGTTAACATTTATAAGACACCTCATAATTGACAGGTTCCTTTTAAATATACTCTCATTTAGTACTCCAGTTATATGCGAAGTAGGCAACATTAGTCTTGCCATTTTTTCAGTGAGAATCTAAAATTTAAGATCAGACAGCTTGAGAGTGATCCAGTTATCAAGGCATAATCTTCTGATGCCACATCGTATATTCTTTCCACAATGTCACACTGCCTCTCAATAAATGAAGGCATGAGATGAAGACTGGCCATTGTAGGGATTGAAAGCATAATGTGTGCTTTTAGTAATTAGGTAGTTGAGAGTTCAAGGTTGTGTCTGAAGAATTTGACTCCGACATCCATAAAGAAAAAAGAGGAAAGTATCCAGAAAGGGATAATGAAGAAATTTGGGGGGAGCATAAATAAAATTATTTAAGATTGTAGTACCTTTGGTCACAAAAAAGTTTCAAGTTCAGTTGTCTCTCAATATTCACAGGCGATATGTTCCAGGACCTCCTGTGCAGATACCAAAATCTGTGGATGCTCAAATCCCTGATAGAAAATGGCATACTATTTGCATATATCCATCCTATGCACATCCTCCTGTATGCCCCAGATTCTACATAAATGTTTGCCAAATGAATTTTAGTAGTCAATACACTTTAAAATATATCTTTAATGTCCACATCCTTTTCACCAATGAACTTGGGCTCAGGAATTTAATATTTTTTAAAAATATTAAAGTAAAGAAAGAGAGAGAAAAAAGGAAATTTGATAATTGACCATGTGGATCTGCCATAACAGTATTAGAGATCATCTTAAAATTCATGTTTGTTATCTTCTGTCATTTCTTTCTTTGCAGAAGTGTGGTGGTGCCTGTGAAGAAGCCTCCTCCAGGTAGCTTAGCTGTAACCACTGTGGGAGCCACTACTGTTGGAAGTGGACTGCCAACAGGCAGTACCTCTAATATATTTGCTGCTACTGGAGCTACACCAAAAAGTATGATTAATACAACAGGTATTGTCCTTATATATTTTTGTGATACCTCATCTTTTTCTTTCTGTTTTCTATATCTTCATTTTTCTGCTTATTTGATCTTAATTAAAATACCCTGATCATTTAAGACTATCTTAATCCTTAAGAAGGTTGTAATTTGTTATGATTTTTCAGAATTTGTCTGTAGTTTTAGGGTGCTTTTTTTAGTGGTCATTTTAGAGGACAATACTGGTTCCTGTTTTGAGTCTTCTCAAAACACAGTGTTATTTACTCACAGATTAAAATCATATTACTGAAATATATTTGGGGAGCAAAAGAAAATTTGAACATTTAAGTTTGATATGTAAAAATCAGTAAGTTGTATCAAGAATATCAAGATGTACTAAAATGTTAGTGACACTAAAAATGTTAGTGACAGAAAATAGATTTGGTGACATTTACTGGTTTAATCTTAATGTATATTCGTTCCTGAATCACTTAAGGAAGGGCAGAGCTCCCCTAACAACGTTGACAACATGCAAGCACCTCAACTTGATAAAAAGTGCATGTGAATAAGAACCATTGTTTGACACTGAATTAATTTATATACTTAGATTACAATCGTATCCAATTCATCGTCCAACAATTTCCTAATGATTCTAGGAACAAAAAATTCAAAACACTACAAATTATAAAAGCCTGCCTAAAATAACCTTTTTTTCTTTTGTAAATTTCCAGAAATGTTCCTGTTTATTATTAGCTAAATAAATCCTTACCCAAATCTTTGTGATTCCATTTTAGGTATTTATACAACGCAAGATGATACCTGACTTTTCTTCCCTGACTATAGTAGCCTTCTCTTCTCCAAACTGTATAGCCTTGAACTTTTCCATTTATTATCATTACTTAGATTCTTCCCATTTTTATTAATTTTGTAGCTCTTCTTTGTGCTTTCTGTATCTATCTTGTTTATCATACCACCTGAGTCTGACATATCATGAACAACACATTTATGGGGTTGTAGTAAGTAGAATGTACTCTATTAAACATATTTATATTAGCAAATGAACATCATTAATGGTATTGTGTTAAAGAATATAACATCTTTTATTTATTTATATTATAAATAAATATTTATATCTGGCTTGTCTGAAGACCTTAATAAGTCTTTCTTTTCAGTAACACAGTTTTATTTTTTATATTCATGTGGCTTTCTAGAAATAGGGATAAAACTGTTTTTCTTTTACCAAGGTATATACCCAAAAAGTGCTAAGGTTTTTAAAATATGCCGATCTAGTAGGAAAAAAAAATCTACAGTTACTGTTGTTTATTGAATAAAGTCCTTATTTTTGTTAAAAGTTAGATAAACAAAAAATTAAATCACTTGTTTTTTATCTTTATATGAGACAAGTTATGATGATTTCATTTAATTTCTATTTAAAGAATTAATAGATTAACAATAGATTTTGAAAATGATGGTAGCAAGAGATGTAGTGATAGTGTAAAGTATATAATACTACAATGAAAAATAAAAAGTAATAAACCTCCTCCTTCGAAATATGTATATGTATGTATGTGTGTGTGCGTGTGTGTGTGTATAAATATATGTAAATGTAAATTGTGGGCCAACTTCTAAACTGGCACATGGGTGCTGTAAAATCTTATAGTGGAAATGCCAGTAATCAATTCAGTGTTATGGGAATTAGTATAAGATATAATAATATTTAGGAACACTAGATGTCCCTCGACTCCATGCCTGTTAAATATACTTACATAGTATATTATAGAGAAATACGTTCTAAAATGATATCATCATTGTTGAGGAAAACTCGTTATTTTAAAATCAGGTACAGTTTTGCTCATTATAGCTCCTTTTAAGCAATCACTTTAAGAAAATGAGCATTTATGCTGTAGTGCCACAAATTTATGCTCCGACAGTTCATTGTAAACTAAGTCTTAGATGAACACTAAAAATATTACAACATAGCAATAAAAAGAGATAAATTTTTCACATTTAAATTTACATTGTTTTGTCAGCCTCATTTTATCTAAAATTTTTCATTCATTGATGTCTTTTATTTGTACCCCATGTGTAATATGTAGTTTTGTTACATTAACATGAGTAAATGACCTGGATTTTAATGCAACAGCTGTTAATTTAAAATTATAAAAAAGTCTTTGTATACTAATGGCCAAATGATTTTTAATTGTAAAATTCTGTTTTGAATTACAAATGAGTAATTTTTTCAAAATTAGGTAGTAATGACATAATTAAAATTATTTTGGTAAATAAATTTATGTTCAAGGCTAAAAATTATTATTTTGGGAACAGGTGCCGTGGATTCAGGGTCCTCCTCCTCTTCCTCCTCTTCTAGTTTTGTGAATGGTGCTACCAGCAAAAACCTTCCAGCTGTACAAACTGTTGCTCCAATGCCAGAAGATTCAGCTGAAAACATGAGGTATGCATAAGTATTTGTTTCTTACTTGTTTTACTTTTTCCTTTTTTAATGTTGTGAAAAAATATACAAAAAATACAAAGATATAGTAAGAATTCTTTGGAATATAGGTTAATTATATATTTTGTGATTACATTTCATAATTATTGTTTTGATATTTTGGGCTAGTCTTGTATAAAAATCAGTGTCATTATATTTCAGAGTCTATTCCGAATCAGGGTTACTGTATTTCAGTCTAACCTGAAACATATTGAGTGATTTTAAAACATTGACTGCTGAGGTGACCAGTTAGCTCACTTGGGAGAGTGTGGTGCTGATCACAACCAAGATTGAGGGTTTGGATCCCCACACCAACCAACCACCAAAGAAAAAAAAATAGATGAAACGTTGCTTGGTAAAAAACTGATAAAACATTGTAATCCATTGCAATATAGTGCATGTACATGTTACTGTTTCCAATAAAAGTTAAAACATGCACAAATAGTAAAATGATAAAATTGGGCCTTTAGGGAGGATGATGAAAATTTTAAAATATAAACTTCCGAAATAAATCTGCAAAGTTATACGTAACATATCATTGGAACAATAGCCAAATATTATCCTGTCTATCATGATTAAAAAACATTTCTAGAAAGGACTAGCCTTCATTCTTGGGGTTAAATCATATATGTGCACATGCACATGCACAAACACACATGCATATGTATTCACATTTTTTATAGAATTATAGCACAAATACAGAGTATGAAAGCTCAGTGAAAGAATGAACATGCTTATGTTACTATCATCTGTCAGGAAATAAATTGTTACAAGTACCTTAGTAACCCCCACCTTGTGCTGCTTTCCCAATTGCTATTCTTGCTACTCTTCAAATTCCCCACACTGACTTTTGATACTAGGATAGTCTTGTCTTTTTTGAATTTTGTATAAATGTAAGTACACCATATGTATTCCTTTGTCTCTGGCTTCTTTTGTTCAACATTATGTTTATGAGATTCATCCACTTTGCGTGTAGCAATAGTTCATTTTTATTTATGTATTTATGTATTTATTTATTTATTTATTTATTTGTCCTTTTTGAGACCGGCTGCACCGCGCTCAGCCTGTGAGCACTGTGAGCGCACTGGTCATCCCTATATAGGATCTGAACCTGCGGCGGGAGCGCAGCAGTGCTCCCGAGTGCGCCATGGGCTCAGCCCTTTATTTTATTTTTAATCCTTTGTGTGCGTATACTACAATTTATTAATCCATTTAACTAATGATGGGTGTTTGAATTTTTTCATTTTTAGCTATTATAAATAATGCTGCTATGTAGAGAATAATGCCATTTGTAATTATTGTGGGTGCACTATTGTTATGTGGGTGTACTACACATTAGTTTGCATATCTGTTGGGTAAATGACTTGGAGTGAAATGCTGATTCATAGTGTTTGTATATGTTCATTTTTACTAAGTAATGTCAAATGGTTTTCCAAAGTGGTTATATAAGTTTAGTAACTCAGCAGGGAATATGAGAGTTCCTGTTGTTTCATATCTTTGACAGGACTTAGTACTGTCTCTTTTATTTTAGGTAGAAGTATATTGGTAATCCATTGTCTTTTTAGTTTGCATTTTACTGATGATTAATGAGGTTGAGTACTTTTAAAAATATATACAGATCTTTTGATTTTCCTGTTTTGTGATTTGCCTGTTGAAATCTCTTGCCCGTTTAATAAAACAATTGAGTTGTTTTGTCTTTTTCTTCTTAATTTGTAAAACTTATTGATGCATTTTGAAAATGAGCCCTTTGGTGATTATATGTCATGCATGTATCTTCTCCCATTCTTTGGCTTTTTTTATTGTTTCCTATATGGTCTCTTTTGATCAACAGAAGTTGTAAATTTTAATGAAATTCAATTTATCAATTTTTTATGGGTGCTTTTTGTGTTGTAGAAGTGTTCGCGCATATTTTCTCTACCTTGTCTTCAGGCTGCTTTATTCTTTGCTTTTTATATTTAGATGTATAGTCCATCTAGAATTAACTTTTGTGACTATAATGAGGTAGGATTAATATGGACATGGAGATAACCTAGCACTATTTATTTGAAAGACTCTTATTTCCCCATGCTTTGCCACTTTTGCACAGAATAAGTGTTCATATATACTCGATTACGGTTTGGCACTTAATTCTGTTCCATTCATCTCTTTGTCTATCCTGCCACACTGTCACAATTAGCTTTAGATTTAATAAAGAACAGTATCAGTTTGTGAGGTCTTTCCACCTTATCTTTTTCCTCAAAGAAGGCTGAGCTATTCTTGATGCTTTGCATTTCCATTTAAATCTCAGAATCAGTTTGTCAATATTCACTTTGAAAACAACTTGCTAGGGTTTTTGTAAGGAATAGAATCTTTAGGTCTGTTGCAACTGGGGTTATATTGTTTATTGATTTCTTTTATTGTGTCTTCCAAACTATGATCATCACATGTTCCTTCCATTTCTTTAGATTTTCTTATGTTTTTTCCCAGTGATGATTTTTAGTTTTCTATGTAGAAGTCTTACATGTTTCTCATTTGATTTATTCGATCATCACATGTTCCTTCCATTTCTTTAGATTTTCTTATGTTTTGTCCCAGTGATGATTTTTAGTTTTCTATGTAGAAGTCTTACATGTTTCTCATTTGATTTATTCTTGGGAATTTAATATTTTGTATTTGTGTCTTTTATTCTCAGGTTAGTTTTTGGATTAACTTTATAGAGAACTTTGGTTTATGTTGCTTAGACTCAATACAAAACACCCACCCTGAGTGTACATTTTAATCAGTTTTGGTCAGTTTATATGCCCATACAAACACCACCACAATCAAGACAGAATATGTCTGTCACCCCAGAAAGTTCCCTATTGCCCCACTCATAATTCACCCCCATCCTACCCTAGGCAAACACTTATGTGCTTTTAACCCTGTAACTTAGATTTGTCTTTTCAAGGTTTCACATAGATGGAAAAATACAGTAAACACTTTTTTCTGTCTTCCTTCACCCAGCTTAATGATTTTGATTCATCTATGTCTTTTTGTTTATGAGTAGTCCATTCCTTTTTATTGCTAAGTATTATTCCATTATATGGCATCCCACAATTTATCTGTTCACCTACTGATAGACATCTGGGTTTTTCCAGTTTGTAGCAATTATAAATAATAATTCTATGGAAATTTAAGTACAAACATTGGCATGGACATATGTTTTCATTTCTCTTGAGTAAACAACTAAGATTAAAATTGCTGATTGAATAGTAAGTATATGCTTAACTTTATAAGAAATTGCTGAGCTGTTTTGCAAGATAGTTGAGTCATTTTATATTCCTGTCAGCAATGTGTGCAAGTTCTGTTTGTTCTTCATTCTTGTCAACACTTGGTATTGTCAGTCTTTTTAATTTTAGATTTTATAATGTCTGGGTGATCGTATCTTGTTTGATTTTGTTTCCCATTCCCTAATAAAATGATGAGTATTTTAATAATGATGAGTATTTTTTTATGTGCTTATGGGCCACTGAAATCTTTTGCTATTTTTAAAAAAATGTGTTGTTTTTCTTATTGTGAGAGTTCTTTATATATATTCTGCAAATATGTTCTTTGTTGGATATATGCATTCCAAAATTCTTTTGTTTGATTCTGTAATTTATATTATCATTTTCTTAACAGTATTCAGAACAGTAAGTTTCTAATTTTGATAAAGTCCATTTTCTCAGATAGTTTCTTATTTTCTGATTTATGCCTTTTGTGTTTAACTGTTTCAGTACCATTGAAGTATCTTGGCACATTTGTTTAAAATCAATTGACCACCTTTTGTGTAGGTCTATTTCTGGGCTCCATTCTACTCTATAACCTTTATGCCAATATTGCATTGTCTTATTTTTTAATTTTTTAAATTTATATTGAAACATAATTGATCATACATATTTTTGGAGTACAGCATTGACTACCATCACCTGTGTACAAGTGTTGATCAAATAAACATTATTAGCATATTCATTATTTCAAATTGTAAATATTCTTTATGCCCCTTTCTCAATCTCTCTCCAACCTCCTTCTCCCCCACCACCCAACTCTGGTGACCACAGATTTGTTCTCTCCTCTGAATGATCAACATTATTGTGGGTTTTTCTTTCTTTCCCTTCCTTCCTTCCTTCCTTCCTTCCTTCCTTCCTTCCTTCCTTCCTTCCCTCCCTCGCTCCCTCCCTCCTTCCTTTCTTTCTTTTTCTCCTTCTTTCTTTTCCGTTTGGAGGGAAAATCAAGTCACTTATGAAAAGTTTCTTTATGATATGACATTGTAGAGGCAGAGGCATTTTGAAAGTTTTGAAGGTGAGCGGAAGGGACTCCAAAAGGTGAAGGAGAGATACAATGGAAAGGCCCATCATCCATTCTTGTTACAGCAGAGATTAGCTTCACCTGCACAACCTTAACCAAGAAATTCTTCGATGGCATCAAGAAGAAAATGCAGTGATATTCCCAAATGTCCTTGAGTGAGCCACCATTTACTGGCTATGTACAATGCTGCATGTTAAAATAAATTTTACATCTGAGGCATTGTGAATCCAAAACAGGGTATTTCAAAAAGTTCATGGAAAAATAAAATTAAAAGATAATATACGTCTTTTCATGAACTTTTTGAAGTACCTTCGTATGTGCCACATTAATCCTTAGTGTCACTTGCTTTTTAAAAATTTTAGTCTAGATCCCAATACAAAAGTGTTCTAACAAAGCAGCATTTGTATAGTGCGTATAAGGAAAAGCCTGAGGAAATCAGGTGCTTATGTGGGGTCTTTAGAATACATTCATGAATCTTAGTGCATTTATTTTTTATTCAGTGATCATTAATTATGTATCTGCATCATGTGCACTGTATTAGACTCTTAAAGATGAGGAAGTATATTTGGCCACCCCTCTCTCATCCTCTGAAATCCTAGCAACCACTGATTTTTTTTTCATTGCCTCAAACATTTCTCATTCTTTGTGTTGGAAACATT